CGCGGGGGCTGGGGGCTGTGGCCTGCATGCGGCCGCGGGGGGGAGCTGGCAGGGTCGGCGGGGGCCAGGGAGGCCCAAGTGGGGAGGATCGGGGCTGCGCGGCGAGGAAGCCTGGCCGCAGCGGGTCATGTCGTGCTCTGGAACCTCTGCTGCCTCCCCTCTATCCGTCGCCCCCGGACGAAGCTCCCGGGTCTTCGCAGCCTCATCCCTCTTCCCCAAGTGCCCGCCACATTCTCCACGTCGACGCCTGGTTCCTGGGCTGGCCGCACTCTTTGACGCCTCCAATCTGTTACTCGTAGTGCTCATCGTCCACATTTTCCCTGGCTGGCACGACCTCGGTTTAACCCCAGCCTAGAGCTCAGACCTCTTCCAGTCTGTCATCGTGGGCTGGGGTCCCCCCAAACAAGCTGAGCTGCTCTCGCCAACCCATCTCTGTTCACTGTCCCTGAATTGCCTACACTTTTACCACAACCCTTTCCTCTTGACGATGCCTCTTGGTTACTGGTGGTCAGTGTCCAGTGTTAGGACCAGGAGACCAGCCCAGCCCAGCCCCTTTCAGACTGCATCCCACTTTTGTTAGCCCTGTGCTGGCACGAGACCCTGGGGCAGAGTCATTTCTGCCCCTTGCCCCACATTCTGGTCTGGTGGGTTCTGAATGTGTGGGAACAGGCCGGGAAGGAGTCCAACCCTTCCCAGTGCCTGCCTGCCATCTTCACTCTCAGCCACCCTGGGGGAGGGGGGGAAGTGTCACTTTTCCTCTTTGGGGGACCCTCCAAGTGTCCTACCACCTTGACCTCCATGTAAGGTCTCAGGGTGCTGCCACCCAAGAGGCTCCCTCATCTGTGCTCCTGACCCTCTTTGTCACTTCTCCTACCTGTCCTCCCCATCACCTGCAGGAACATCACTCCCACCCAGACTCCTCAAAGTCTCAGCTTTTACCCCAAATGCAATGATCCATAAGAGGTCTTTCCTTAAGTGGATTCTTCCAATTACTTTCTCCACCTCCTCCTGTTCATCTGCCTCTCCAAAACCTTGTTCCAGACAGTAATGGCCCAGGGCTAGCACCATCTATGGCATCTGGGAGCTTGTTAGCAATGCAGACTCTCAGGCACTCCCCCCAACCCCAACCCCACAGGCTGAACCAGAACCTGCATTTGAACAGGATCCCAGGTGATCTGAGAAGCAGGGCTCTAGAGAAACTCCCCCAAACTGTTCCAGACTTGATGCACCCTGCCCCCAAACCTTCACACCTCCCTCTGGCTTTCTAGTTTGCCCCAGCACTCCGCCTCGTCCTTGATGGAACGGACAGAGGTCATCTTGGCAGTGCTCTCCCAGCTCTCTCAGCCCCTCTGGGCTCTTTGGTGTGCCCCAGTCTTGTCTCCCAGCCTCCTCTCCTTTGCCCTGGGGAGGGATGTAGACTCAAAGACCACTTTGTTTGGTCCCATCTCTGCCCACCCCTGAGGTGGCGCTGTTTTCCTCTTCTTACCTTGATCCTCTCTTTCCTTGTGTCTGTCTGCTTCCTTCCTCCAAGGCTTCCCCCTCCTGAGAAAGTTTGCCAGAGTCTTCTACCCAACGATGCCTTGCCAGCCTCCAGCAAGCCACTTCGGAAACCCTCCCAGCCAGGCTTCCTTCCAGCTTGTCTGCTGCAGCTCCTATCCTTTCCCCGGCCAGGCCTTCCGACTTCCCTGGGGCAGTGGGCTCCCCACAAGTGCCCCTTCCCCACACATCTAGGTGAAAGAATGCTATTTCTCCCTTCTCCTCTGAGCGTCCCTCCAGGCTGCTGTGGGCATGCCTCCCCTCCTTGCCTCTGAGGATTGGACAACAGCTGGACCACAGCCTCAGAGGCCATCTTTGGAGACCAGATCCCCACGGGTGGGCTCCTGGCCTGCTTCCCACTCATAAGAACAAAAGGGGGGTTGGTCTTGGGGGAGGAACAGCACCCGCCAAGGGGAGGAGGGTCCCTGCTGGGAGTGGCTCTGCCACTGGCCTCAGGTTGGGTCTGCCCAAGGGCTAGTCTAGGTCATCTCTGTCTGTCCATGGCACTTCCTCCTGCTCTCCACCAGGCTTGGGGCCTCCAGGAGTCATCTCTGATACTCTCCTCACCTTGCTCCTGTAGCCACCTGTTTGCCGGGTCTTAAGAATCCTCCTTTCCATATCCCCGCCCCATAGTCATGGAGTCAATTCTGACCCACAGCGACTCTAAAAAGGGTTTCTGAAGCTGATGTTCTTTATGGGAGCAGACAGCCTCGTCTTTCTCCTTCAGAGTGCATGAAGATGGGCTTGAACCGCCAACTGTGTGTAACACCTCAACCCTTAACCCACAACTCCACCAGGGCTCCTTCCTACCCCAGTACGTATAGCTAGGGTCTTCACAAAAGTCTAACTTGGAGAAGTCTGCCCCAGTTCTGGTCACAGCCGCTTACCTGTCTCCCTGCCATCCTCCATTCTCCTGCCAGCCAGTTTAAATGCTTTATGTGACTTAGGTCATCACCTGCTTGGGAACTGTCACATGTCTCTCCTCTGCCCTGCCTCCCTGCAACCAAAAAAACTAGTGAAATTTAGGGACATTTAGGATTTCAGATGCCTGATCTAAATCTTCCTTCCCAGCTTTCCCTCCGTTCCCTCCCGGGGGTGAGTCCCTGGCTTATTGATAAGGAAAAATGCACTTTCCCACACAGCTTCCCTCTCTCAGCCTGACACCTTTCCTCTGGTTTCTTCTCCCACTGGAATGCCTTCATTCTCAGGACTCCTTTCTCCCCTGGGAGGCAATGGGGGTAAGGTCTACCTTCCTTTTCATGGAGGCTGAAGGGCTTTGGTGTTGGAAACCCTCGGGGTTCTAGAAGGTTATTTCCAATGTAGAATTAAAGGAGAGGTGCTTAGAATAACTCTGAGGCCGAAAGGTTTGGTCAGCCTGGACAGGTTGCATTGAGCTCAGTCATCAGCTGAGGGAAATTCGGACTTGTGTGTGTGTTCAAGGCATTCCAGGATCGGCAGCCCCAGAGAACTCCTGGATTCGAGCCACTGACTGACCCAAGGGGCTAGTGTCTGGGTGGGGAGGACAAGCAAATTCTGCACCAGCCCTTGGGGTTAGAGGTTGAAAATCTCTGCAGTAGACCTAGTAGACAGAAGCCCCCCCCCTACTTTTAATGTGTGCTCTTGCTTTTGCATTCATTCTCTTAATACCATTGGCGAATATCACTTTTCAAACTCCTACAGCTTTGCCAAGAGACTCAGACTTTAGGGACCTGTAGGGACCTGCTGTGAGTATGGCCACTGAGAGATAAGGAAGTGCTGGGGACACATGCAGAAGGCTGAGTTTACGGCTGTAGAGAATGCCTATCCTGCCTGGCCCAAGCGGGAGCTTACTACCCCAAGCTCCCTGCCCAGGGCTTCTGAGGTCCTCCTCCTTTGGCATTTGTGCCAAAGGGTCATGGGCATTTGTGCTCACAGTCATGGGATAGGGTTCTTATTATGTGCCCAGTGCTGGAGAATAAACAAGTTTAAAACACAGGCTATGCTCTTATGGCTCACAGTCATTGACAGAGAATAGTTTATATCAAGGAAACAAGCTTACATAGTTATTGAGGCTGGCAAATTTCAAGTCTGTAGGTCAGATGTCAGACTGGAGGCTTCTCCTGATTCACATGTAGTTACAAAGGCTGATGAACCCAAGATCGGCAGGTCAGAGGGCATGCTTCTGACTGCAGAGGTGAATGAATCCAAGGTCAGGTCAGAGGACAATTCCCAGGACCAGTCCCCAATAATGGTTGGAGTCTAAAGAACTGGAGGTGATAACAGGCCAGATGCAGAATCCAGACCCAGCAAAAAGCAAACAACCTCTTCCACAGCGTCCCCTTATAT